TGCCATGCTTTAGTTTTAATGTGTTAAGGTGTGTTGGGGAATCCAAACTCTGGTCCTTGGGCTTAACTTTGAAACTGAATCATCTCCAGCCTGTTTTGGAGATCCAAGATATATATATATATTCATATATATATGAAATACAAAGCAAAGATTTAGATATGAATTGAAAAAATAACCTCAGGATTTTGAAAATGAGCGAATGTCTCTCCCATTCTTACAGTCTGAGTCTGTCCTGTCCAAAAGGAAGTTCGACTCAAAACTCAAAATCATCACAGGTCATAGAATCAAGCAGGTCTAATAACTGTAGCCAGAGAAAGAGTCAGGAGACCCTTTGTGACTGACTGTTTTACTTGTATGGGTCCACCAAGCCCTATAATTACTCTTGATTGACAGAGATATGATGTTATTGTTGGTAGCTTGAACCCTCTGAGGTGTGAAATCTGAGGCTGTTGCACAGCCTGTTTTGTTCCATCCACCTTCAGCAATTGTCAAGTCAGTTTGAATGTTAGAATCCTGTTGACAGATGAGTGAGGCAGCCCGAGCCAAACTAAGCTTACTGCGCTGGTTCTGTGGAGGATGAATTAGGAAAAGAAATCTCTGCAGAACTTTAAGATACAAAATGCTGACGTCTCTACTGCATAATGAAGAAACAGCTTAGGTTTTCTCATTTGAAAGTAATTCTTTTCCAGCTATAAGTACAACTGATAGCAACTACTCGTGTTTTGCCATTTCATGTAACAATTTCTGTATCACCTCTGTGACCAAGACTGACTATACCCATTTTATAAAGGAGGAAATGGGCTTGGGCCCATCATACAGCTTGTCCTGCAGTGTACGCCAATCACAAGGCAGAAGTAGACTTTGAACCCAGGTTTATCTCTCTGCAAAACTCATTTCCCTCCATGTTCTAAAGATGGTTTTCAGGCAAGTTGACTTTTAGTGTCACTGTCTTCTCTGTAAGTAGCATCCTTATACCTTAGTCTGCCTGCTGTCTTGCAACTTGTATATAGCCTTTCACATTGCTGATTGCTTAAAGTAAACTTACACATGATGGAAAGAGCATCAAGTGAAAGCACAGTCATTAAAAGCTTTGCCTCGTGAGTCAAGAAAATCAGGAAAATGCACTTATCAAGTTTTCAGAAAAAGTTCTTCTGTGTCTTTGTCATGTGCTTTCCTTGTTGCAGCGGCTCAATAGTCAGAGAAAAGCACCATGCAAGGGTGGTGGCTCATGTCAGCTCATGCTTGATGGGCTCAGTGCATCATGGTGGGGACAGTTACAGCAGCAGGAGCTGGAGCCCCACTCCATCTGCAGTAAAGAGGCAGAGACAATGGTG